CCCTACAGAACAACAGTTCATAAATAAAGTTCAGGTCTGTGTAATGAAGGTGCACTAGTGAACAGGCTTTAGGTATTGTGTCGATTTAGCTTGATGATGGTTTCCCTGGGCAACCACAGATTTTAGGAATTATGAACCTGTTAAATTCAAGGTTGATGATCCTAAGCATGTAAGACAGGTTGCTGAGCCAACACACCTTCAGAGCAAATTATGAAAGCCTGCTTCCTTATCAATGAGTTTCAATCAGCTAAACCAGAAAAAAAAAGAGTAAGAGAAGAGGATTTGAGAGCGGCAAATCTAAAGAAAGAAAAATGAAAATCAGTGTGAAAAAAATTTTGTCTCCCTTCCTCAGCAGGTAGGGGTGAAAAAGCACAGAACACATCTCACATGCCTCAAATTTTATTCCTTAGAGCAAGCTTAAACAGGAAGATGAGAGAGGCTGATGTATCCTTGGCTAACTACATGAAATGCAACAAGATGCTGCGTTTTATTTTGCTTTCAGAATTGGAAGTATGTTGTTTATGTTGAGACTTATCTAAGCAGGTCTCCATTAATTGTTTGTATTCAGGAGAATAAAATCAGGAAGCAATTGCCTTTTGGCTGTAATCTTTCTGATGTTAGTGGCAACCCTGCTGTAGGCTTGCATGGGAAGATGGATGAGATCTGTAGAGCTAACTTTCTGTATACAGCTCAGTCATCCCAAATATGAAGAGGGTGGTCTCCTATGGCATTACTGGACAACATCCATCTTTGCTTTTGAAAGAAAATCCATGCTTGACGGCAGCATTGGTCTGTCTGAGAAACAGATTGAGGGAATGTGTGCGCTTGCAGCCCAGAAAGCTAACTGTATGCTGGGCTGCATCTCTGCTCTTGGAGGCCCCACATGGAGTTCTGCGTCGAGTTCTGGACCCTCAACATGACACCTGTTGGAATTAGTCCAGAGGAGGGCCTGGAGAGGCATCTCCCCTATGAAGTCAGGCTGAAAGACTTGAGGTTCTTCAGCCTGGAGAAGAGAAGGCTCCAGGGAGACCTTATTGCAGCCTTCCAGTACCTGAACAGGGCCTACAAGAAAGATGTAGAGTGACTTTTTACCAGGGTGGGTAGTGATAAGACAATGGGTGATGGCTTTAAACTGAAAGAGGGTAGATTTAGACTGGATATTAGGAAGAAATTCTTTACTGTGAGAGTGGTGAGACACTGGCATGGGTTGTCCAGGGGAGGTTGTGGATGCCCCCTCCCTGGAAGTGTTCAAGGCCAGGTTGGACAGGGCTTTGGGCAACCTGGTCTGGTGGGAGGTGTCCCTGCCCATGGCAGGAGGGTTGGACTAAGTGATCTTTCCAACCCAAACCATTCTGTGATTCTATGAATTTTTTATGTGCTGTGGAGTCTGTTGGTGAGAATCATTCAACTTGCTTTGTTACTGTTGTATTTTTACTGAACCACTGGGAAGGCTGGAGCTCCCAGCCTTGAGAAAAACTCTCAAGTTTTTTCTTTCGTGCTCCATTGCTGAAGAAGTAATCCATGTTTACCAGAGCTCTGCCAAGTTCAGTGTTCGTTCGACTGCCAATATTCTGGTTGGTCGAGTTGGGAACTTTGCTTGAGAACACAGGCATGTAGTTTGGCAGTGGCTTCTGCTCCTTTTTCTTACCCTGGATAAAACAAAGACAAATAAGTTTTCAGAATTGCATCCGTTGCTTGTGAAAAAAATACAGGTTACTGAGATTATTTAAAATATCAGTACTATTGCATTTGAAATTAGAATTTGAATGTACTTTAAAGTGCCATACTGAATGCACATGAAAGTGTTAAAGAAATAAGTAAAATGATTGGTTTTTCCTGTCATCTTGCATGGGAATAGGATAACACAGAGAAATGAATAATTTTCAAATGTGTTGCATAAATTGCCAGCTGGGACAAAGTTCACCTGCTCTAGAACGCTTGTGATGTGGGAGGGGTTTTGTTTCATTTTTAGTAAGTGACATTATGTTACAAATTTTCTCCTAGGAAGTTGGTTCTTCTAGCACTTGTCTTTTTATGGAGTTGTTAATACTGAAACAGATTGAACACTCGCACGTACTGTATTTCATTGTGGCGTAGGTAGCAGATGAAAGGCACTTCAGTTCTCTTTTATTTTTCCTAAAGATTCTAGTCTTAAAGCATTTGCCAATTATGCTTAAGTATGCTTCAGTTTGAAATATTAGCTCAAATTAACAAAAAATTAAAAAGAGCCTGGATTGCAGTTGAATGTTTGCTCAAAGCTTACCATTTGGTCACAGTCCTTTAGGAAACTCCAGTTCTGGTACCTTGGAACAGAAGTAAAAAATACAGTATAAAATTTTCTGTCTTTTAATAAAATAGTTAATATTGGTCATATTTGAATGCCTATTTAACTGCTCAATTTGTACTTACAGACCAGCTCTTACACCTGCAGACTCTTTGTATTGAAACCTGTCTTTTCTGTGGTGAAGCCCAGGGTTTTCTTTATTCTCATACAGAGCCTGTACTACATGAGGAGTGGGGATTTTTTGCGAAAGGAAGGTGAGGATAGGCTGTGCACAATGTATTCCTTGGGCAAATGCAGATAATTAGCAGAGTTCTGAGTCACTCTAGCAAACCTTTGTCCCATGCCTTGAGTAGGACACAGCTTTATTTTTTAAATGACCAATACTCTGCTGGCAGAAGACCCTGGTAAGAATTCCCAAAGCCGTATTTGTTACAGGCAGACACCCACAGGAGTATTTTGCATGAATGGGCAGCAATGCTAGAAGCAAACGGAGTCAGAAGACCTGGGTTTTGCTCTTCAGCTCTGTTCTATACCTGGTGTGGGACTACAGGGCAAGTCCTTCGATTTTCTGTCCTTTGCTTTGGAGAAAAGGAGAAAACAAAGGTTCACTTGCTATTGTAGAAGTGTTACCTTACCCATGAAAGTGAGTTTGCACAAATATCTGTGACTCCGAATCCCAGAGGACAGGCACAGATAGAGAGTCCCTTCTGCTGCCTTCGCTAGGGAATGGGTATGGAAGGTGTTGGGCCCATTTGGGAAGTGTCTGAGTGCACAACTGGGAGAGTAACATTGCCACCACGGCCTTGGCTTTGCATGAGTCAGAGACCTGGCATCAGCCTTTCCTGCAGGTAACAGGAACCAGATGAGTGCAAATGCATGTCAGGGGAAATCAGAGCTGTGATTTGTGTCTCCTACAAAAGACTAAGGAGAACAAGGGGTTTCAGATGGTTTCCTTTCTCATTCTAAAAAATCCTGAGAGTGATGTTCTTTTTCCTCCTTTTCCTTTAGTTTGGACAGTGTGCAGTTGGAACTGGATCTGGTTTTTTGAGGATATTTTTCTAATAGACATGCTCATGCTGTGTACTGAGGTATGAACATAAATGCTTAATATATGTGGCAGAGACAGAGAGTATCTTAATTTTGGGATCCTTCAGGTCAGTGGAAGGAACACACAGTCAAAGGTTAGGTTATATGTGTGCAGTTCAGTCTGCTGAAGCACTGTAACAATGGAGCACGTTCAGCAGATTTACAGATTGGGAGTACAAAATCATACTTTGGCAGAACATTCTGTTTAGCTTCCATTTCAGCCATTTCCAAGATTCTGAGAAGAGGTGATAATATCAGTGTGTCTGCAATAAATTATAAAGGTTGGCACATTTATATCTTCATTGTGAAAACCTATAAAGCTAAAAGATACTTAGCATGCAATTCTTTGTATCTCTCTTCAGTTTAAGCCCAGCATGCCAGGAGGTACTAGCATAGATTTGGTCCAGTGAAGGAAAACAGATAATATGATCTTAGAAAGAAAGGTATTGGGTCTGATTCAAATCCCTGCAGAAGAAAATTTCCTTTGGTAGTGTAGGCTTTGGATCAAGCCCTAAGACAGTCAGGGAGCATCAGTACCATTGTGAAGATGAGTAGAAGAGACATGAACTGGAACAAGTGACTTACCAGATTTTTCTTCCTCTCTGTTCAGCCTTCACAGACTCTCTCCAGATCTTATCCTGTTGAACCTGGTCCTGCTGCAGTGCTGCCTGCTCATCTGCCCAGGCCTGAGCAGCCTGTTGTGCAATGATAGGTCTTCTGGGTTGGGTGCTGCTGAGAGACACAGATGGAGCTGAGGCTGCTTGCCCCAGAGGTGTGGTTGCTGGTTGCCAAGACCTAACCAAGGTGTTTCTCCTGAATCCAGAACCCTTTCCCACCCTGTCCATTTTGAGACTCACTCTATTCCCAGTATCATTAGGTATATTGTGACTGTTAGGAAAATTAAACCTGCTACTGCTTGCACTTTCAAAGCTCTTTCTCTCCTAATGTTTTCTTTTAGCTGCTGATTTGGAGCCCTTTCAGAAAATGGAACATGCACAGCAGCACTGACAGGCAGAGCTCAGCATTGTTTTACTTCCCTCTTATTTAATGCTTATTTCCTACTGCTTTATGTAGCTTCATTGCTTGAACACTGAAGCTTTCATGGTAACAGCAATTTTGTAAGAAACTACTATTACTGAAAGCCATTGGATCTCCAGCTATTACCAGCAAACTCTCAGCTTATGAGTCGATTAGTGCTGCTTGCAGCTGAGACCACCCTCTGTTCAAAATCCTCAGAACAACAAAGTCTGGTTTAGTAGCAAAAAGGTGCTGTGGAGATTGCTGCTGAGTATGTCAGGAAGACTTTTGTTGTGAGTAGATAGCAGAAGCAAAATCTCCTCAAAACTGCTGGTTTCCCTGGTGTGTTTACTGTCTCCATTGGAAACAAGTCTGACTTTTGAATATTCACAAGAAAGGGAGCAGAGCCCCAGTGGGACAGCTGCTGGGGCCTTGAACTCTATTTGGGGGAGAACTTGTTCGTTTAAAAAAAGGTATTTCAATGAATCTGTACTTTGAAAGCTCCTTATTTTCAAATTTTTAAAAAAGAGCAGCCAGTGATCATCAAAAGACCTTTATAAGTACTTAGAAATTTCTGCAGAAGATATTAAGCAACTACAAGAAGTAGTTTTTAATTAACTTTAAAGAACTATTAGTATACAAAATGAGAATTTTCAAAACAGTGTCCAAAATGTCAGTGTTTGTCTTTACAGTCAGCCTGTTGGGCTTTTGTGGTATGAAGTCACTTCCTCAAGTATTTGTGACCTTGCAGGAAAATGAAGTATTTTAAGTATAAATTTCCTCTCAAATACTTGACTGACTTGTTTTTGAGTAATGTGGAATGGCTCCAGATGAATTCTAGCCTCTTGCTTCATCTTCGTGGTAAATGCCAATGAACTTTGGAATCTATTTTTAAGGGGGTTTTTTTGGCAAACTTATTTGCTTGCAGTATTGGGAAATACACGATGAATTTGGCAAATAATGTGTTTTAAATTAGTACTGTACAATAATCCAAACAATTCATGTAGGCATATTTGAGCAAGAAATACTTCTATATTTGGAAAACTTATTCTGACTTTGAAGATTGCAGTAACATAACTTAAGAAGAGGTAAACTCCACCTCCAATCACAATGTTTGCTTTATGTCTGAATGAAATTTTTGTAGACTTTGTTATTTGTTTGCTTGTTTTTCTGAAATAATTTAAACCTAAACAGTGTTTTTATCTCTTTCAGCCAAAAAGCAAAAAAAGTCATGTATCCATACACCATTATCATGAACTGAAGAAATAAACTGTTTGCAAACCTGGCCTGATAGTTTGCTCTGTTCCCCTTGTGGAATCTGCTTATCCTGCTGCGTTCATTCCAGGGTCCTCTCCAAGTTGGAGTGTGTGCAGCTGGTTGCAGAACAGGGTTTTAGCAGCATCTAACTGCTTTAAAAGGAAGCTGAGGTACATTTGGAAGACCCAATGCGTTAATCAATGCACATGGGATTTTAGCTTCTGATAAGGTCAGGAAAGGATCATGGTGGGAAGGCTGTTCCTGTGCATGGAATGCTTTTTAACTCTTGTTTACAAAGTTCTTGGGTTATTTTAATTCTAATCCTTCCTTCAAGACAATTTCTGCAAATTGAACATAATAATAAACTAAAAATGGTTATAGAGCTGAGTACATAGCTTCCAGATAACTACTTGTAGCCACTGAATAAACTGCACAGAAAGATTACAAGAAGGTGTTTAAAGTTGTTGCTACTGAGTGGTGTCTGCAAAGATGTAGGAGTTGTAACAACCCTGGTTTTGATGTAGATGTAGGGCTATGAAGTGCCTTGCAGAACAGCTTACTGGAAGTGAACTCGTGGGTTAAAGCCAGATCTGTTGGTCTGAGACCCCACAACCTCAGAAAAGAAAGATGTCTTAACTATAGCTCTTTAGGCTTCAAACCAAAGTCGGTTATGAGTCTACATCCAGGTATTGGACACTTCATAGCCTTCAAGCCATTACTCTGGGAATAATAGATGGGAATGGGATCATGGCTGTTTAAATAAGTTAGGTTTTCTTAAAACATGACTTTTAAATGTAGCTGCTGTTCCAAAATCAGATCACTAAGAGCTGATATTTTGAAAATTATCCTGTTTTCTGTTGGAACCAGAAGTCATCAAGGGAGTGGTTATGCACTGTTAAAGCACATCATGATGAGTGCAAGGATAACATTTCTGGGTGTTACTCTGGGTTCCTTACTGGATATACTACTAGCCCATTTAAGCATTTTACTAGATTAATTTACTAGAACTGCTGCAAGTACTGAACTGTTTCCCCTCATACTACCAGTTGCCAGTTTAGGATTTTATTCATTCATTATAACAACTCTGGGTATTCAAGCAAGGAGCTCATTTGAATTGGTATGACTGATTTACTATGTACTTATTTTCATTGTGTAGTAGAATAGGTTGATGTTTATTGTGACCTCATGCCGTATGTATCATGTAAATTGATTGTAGCATCTTTTTTTGTCTGGTTGAGGGTGTGAAACTTGAAAAAAGTGCTAAGTGTCACTGTAGGAGATGGTGCCTTCGTTTTGGGATTAGTTTATCTGACAAGCAGTGTGAGTGCCCATCATTCTGAGGAAAAATTTTACTAAAGTTGGACTTTTGTTGTTGCCAGACAAGTAACTGTATGCACTACAAATTCATCTGTGAAAAATATGCGAGTTACTTCCCCCGTCAAAGGAAAAAATGTCTAGAGAGGCTTTTTATGGAGGAGAAAATTCAGGTGTTTAGATAAACCATTATTTGACCACAAGAGGGTATTGCAGTATCAGTTATGCAAGACTTGAGCTAATGTTTGACTTTATATGCACTGTCTTATTGCTAAAATGCACATTTCTGGAAATGAATTATTTAAATTAAGCAGCAGTTAAGAAAATCAGGTTTTGTATGCCAATATTTGATGTCTTAGTACAGAGGCAATTTCTGAGCTTTTTTTTTTTCTGAAAATTGTTTTGTTCTTTTATACTAACAAGCTTCTTGAAGCTTGAGAAGTTTGCATTGATTTCACTGGAAGACAGGGACTTCAGAGAGTGGTTCCAAAACACTGAAAAACTTAAAGGAAATTGCTTGGTTAAATGGAAGAATACATCAGGTATAGAAGAGAAATAGTCACAAGAGATGAACATGTTGCTGCTTTGGTTAGAAGTGCTTGCTAGTCTAGGGTGCTGTTGGAGTCAGTGAGACTCTGGTCTGATTATCCCATGTGATTCTACTTGCAGGAATAAAGTCTGAAATCTTTTTTAGCTCATTTGTGTTACCAGATTCCTCCTTTACATCCAAGTCTTCTGCAGTATGCATCCAATGCTGGTTTGCACTTTTTTTCCCAAGTCAATAATGTGTTGGGATACTTTCCTACAAAAGTTATATCTTCTGAACTTTAAGGACAGTGTTGCCAAATGGTCATACTATGTTTTGTACAGTTCAGACCATGGAAGAGGAAGCTAGAAGGATTTCTGGATTCTCCCACTCCAGGATCTGCTGCTGGATTTAGAAGAGGATACATGGTATGCCTGCCTGTCTCTCAACAAGCCCACCTCTAGAACAAGATCACAGCCATATCATATTATCTGTGAAGAACAAATTTCCGAGGGTGTGATAATGATTTGAGCAAATCAGTTGCAGCAAAGCAATTTTCATATAGGAAAGTTTGTGTTTGTGAGATATTGCAGAGATTGAAGAAAAGCATTTAAAAACACAGGGGTAGTGTATGTATCACGTGTGAATGAGACACAGGAGCAAGATCCTCAGCTGGAGGAGAGGGCAGCTCTCCAGACACCAGCTTTTCAGGGCATATCACCATTCAGAAGATCTCTGCCACTTCATGAATGGGGCGGAGACCCCCATGTAAATCTTTCAGTATGAGCAGTGTTGACTGCCTCAAATAGTGACATTTGTGTTGTCATCATCATCTTCCTCAAATGAACAAAGATCAGTCAAGATTGCAGGCTGGATCATGACAATGGTCAGCAGACTGGGCTATTGGATGATCCATGAGAGGACACTGAGCACCCAGCAGAGAAGGGATGGTTGGCACAGCATAACTGTGGCGCTTTCTCATCACCTCTGGGCATTACCCAGCAAGGACCCTAGAAAGCCCAGAGGTGACAGATTCTGCTAACAAAGCTGTGTCTTGGTCTGGCAGGAGCAGAGTGCCTTGTGTCACTATATGCTGCCAAAATGGAAAGAAATCCTGCAAGCTGCCTGTTAGGAGTAAAACTCCTAAATGATTATGTAGCTGCTTGATTGAAGGCTTCATGCATTAAGTTTTGCTGTAGCTTTCATAAAAAAATACAAACTTCTTTCTTGTCTTAATGGAGTTCTGCTGAGAGAGCCTGGCAAGTTGAGCGTCTGTTGCGTCGGCAGCGTACGAATACCACGGGGGGAATGTCTGCTTCCAGTGACACAGAGTCTGACACTTCAAAATAAAATCAAAGCTGTAATGCAGACTGCAAGAAATCTGTTGTGAATTCTTTTTTGTCCCCTTTTTTAGTATAAATTTTAGTGTTATAAAATATGTTAGCTACTGACACGCCGTTTATTTTAAACAAAAATTATTTATTTGAAAAAATATTATTTACTTGAAAAAAAGTATTAAAAAGCAGCTGTTACATTAGAGTCTTCTGCTTAAACCTGTTTCCTGAGCATGGTAATGGGAGTTGAGGGAGGGAGCGCTGCAGGGCTGGTGCGTGAGTAGGGATGTTTGGAAGTATCTGGTTTGAGGAGAAAGAACTATAAATATAAGAAATGTTCCTCACTGGTTGAGGAATATTTTCAGCTGCTATTCCACATCATTTTGGTCTTAGAGGC